AATGAAATTCAAAGTGTGCAAGGCTTCTCTAAAGCATTTACTAACAGTAATATATACAGGTACAGTTGGGCAGTCAGAACACAAAGGGAAAAAGGGGAAGGAGTGTCTTCAGTGATGAAAGCCAATTTTTATCACTTACCTTGTTTTGACAGAAGAGTAAGTACTGCAGACAGAATGACAAACAAGACTTGCCATAGGGAGCTTTCTGCCTGCTTCCTTCTTCACGATTGACACCTGCCTTTCCTCACGCCCACACACGCAGTCCATTCCCATCTACCTCTTATCATTTCTCATTCTCTGTTTTCTGCTTTTCCCTGCAGCTCACTGTACTCTCTTCTCTTTCTTCATCTATGCTTTCATGCAGAAAACTATTGAACTATAGATTCTAGGGAAGGCATATCTTGTCTGCTGTTGTACGTATACTGTCTAGCACAGTGTTTGATCTGTAGGTGGTGTCAAGAGGTAGAGAGGCTGGGGGGAGGGTTGGGAGGGGCCTTGGAGTGTGAGACATGGTAGGGTGAGAGAGAGTTGAGTTCAGAGCCTGTTTTGTCTGCCACTGAGTTTCTTTTTGGATTTGGGCAAATTAACGTCACCTTTCTCTGTGCTTTTTGTTCACTTGCTTTCTCATTGCCACAGTGCTGACCACATTCTTGGCACATTGCTATGTTTGGTGGTTACTTTGTGTCAGGTAGTGCTTTGTGTATTTTGTTAGATATTGCTCAGTTGTCATCATTTAAAACATTTATAAAATCCTCACAATTAAAAAAAACACTGGTTGGGGAACAACAGAGTAAAGAATTGTTAAGACAAAAGAAAAGAGAGTAAATAGTGAAATATGGGTAAAGAGGCGATAGGATTAGTGCACTTTTTACGAAGTGACTGTGTTGAGCTATTGGACATAAACTACCACAATATGTCTTCAGGCTTGTGTGCCTTGACAGAAACGTGACAGGTGAAAGTCGGGGTGGAGAGAGTCATGGTGAAAAGTAAGTTACCACACTGAGCCCTTCGTCAACAGGGCTCCATGTGCTTTCCCTACCGTACAATGATCATGTAGGACTGTTGGCCTTGTGTCACTGATGAGTAAACTGAGGCCCCTCACTCTCTCCATTTTCTGTGCCGGCTTCACTCTCCCTCAGTCTGATCAGATGTACCCAGCTGTTACGGGGCACTCTCCTTGATGTGTACTGCTGCCTCCAAATGGGGGCCCAGCCCCCTACAGCTCGTTGCCATCCAGCGTGATCACCCACTGTCCTCCGGGGGTCAGCCTCCAGGCCATCTGCTCACATTGAGCAAGACAGATCTTCAGTGAGCCTTCTCCCTTGCAGCTCCTGCCCTCCCCTATGATGGGAAATGTCCTCCCCTAGCATGGGAGATGTCCTCTCCTTGTGGAGGATCTCTAGCCTTGTCACTCCAGCCACAGTAACTTCTACCTTGTTCCTGCAGCCCCACACCCTTTGCCATCACTTCTGTCTTTGATCATATACAGAAGTTAGGAACATTTCATTGTTCTGCTTTTGGACCATAGCCCCCTACTTCCTGTCACCAACTGCCACACCATCTCCCCTTTGATCTCACTGAAATCGGTCTTTTGATTTCTCCTTTTTTTAAGAACTAGAGCTTTTCAGGTCCTACTTTCATCCCTACCCAGTTTTTTAGTTGATTATGTTTTTAGTCCATCTCCTCAGATCTGTTCACTAAGCTGTTTTATAAAACCTGAACTTTAACAGATAAAAAGCTACTGCATAAGTGTACTGTATGTGCTCCCCCCACCCCCGTCCCGCCCCGAGTGTCTGAGTTTATGAGAACCTCTAACCCATCAACTGAAGCACATGCTTCATTGCACAGTGTTGGAAGCCTTCTAGCCTTTGCTGGTCTCGTCTTTCCACAAACCCACACCTAGCAAGGAGGTGCCTGCCTTTGTGCCTTTTGCAGGTGTTCAGTTTGACTCCCCTTCTACCTGCCTAACCATTGAGGATTTTAAATAGGAGTAGATGATCTGATTTGCATTAAAAAATATATATCACTGACTGTTTTTAGAAAGAATATTTTACTGTGTAAGACCATATAGTAGAATAACCACCCTATGTTTACAACCTAGATACCTTGTGGGCCAACGCCTCGTGAACTATGAACGGAAATCGGGCAAACAAGGCACATCACCACCACCTCCACAGTCGTCCCAAGAATAAAGTGGTTGTCTCAACTCCTTGACCTTCCCCTTGCCTTTACGTGTCCTTTTTTGTGGACTTCTCTCTTTGAAGATTTTCCCAGTGATCTCTCAGCATTGTTTTTAAGTTAAATGTATTTGACTTGTGTTCTCGGCATTAAGAGAGTAGCAGTGTGAGGCTCTGCTGCTCTTCTTTGCCTCTTGTGACATCAGTGCTGTCTGAGATCTGTATATGTGTAAATAGAAGTTCCTTGATGCCCTAAAACCTTGGATTAAACAGAATGTGCATTGTACATCTTTAAACAAAATGTATATTAATTTATTAAATCTAGTTGTCACTTTATTTTGGACCTGCTGTGATCTCGACAGGAAACATGCCACAGAGCAATAGTGCACAGGCAAGAATTTTCAGTGATGTCTTGTGGAGTGCAGTTCACGATGTTCTCTCAGTTCTCACTAAGGAAACTATACACTCTTTCTTGGCTATTCAGACCTTACCAAGAACGTAAAAGGAAACAAGTAGAAATCAGCAGTGGAGTGTCTGTGGTAAGAAAACATGAACTTTGTGCTTCACTGTCAGTTGTTTTTGAAAGTTATTTTGTATAACACCAAAGCTGTTGTACATTTTCTACTGCCTGGTTTTTTTCATATGTCTGTGTTTGTATTGTATAGTATCTTGTGCTAGGTGAGGAAATTATTTTTAATTTTGATAATTTAATATTCTTAGCGGTCATCATTGGGAGTTGGGTTCCTGTGCTTGTTAGGGGCATGTGTATACTTAGAAAAAAATGAAAAATCCAAATGAAGATTTTCATTAGTCTTCCCACCTCCCACGCCCCCAACACAGCTATCTCTTTCTTTTGGTAGCAGTGGCCAAAAGTCATGCAAGATTATAAATCTTTCAGAATAACATCACCAACCATACTACATCTTACCAGACTTAGGACATTTTGTGAAATGCTTGTGAAGTGTAGATGTGGTTGTGGTTTTATTTTGACAGCATTAGAGAAGACTGGTTAGAACATCTAGTCTTGATAGCTAGTGCATCACTGGGTGAGTATCAGGGAGTACATTTCTCCTACTTTTTCACCAGTAAATCCCAAAGTTTTCAAACCTTTTTGTTTACAGGATAAAACTACAAATAAAACCAACTCGATTTTATTTGTCCAGAAGGAAGCTGGCTGAGCTGGCCTTTTAACATAGGAATGTATTTCATTGGAAACGTGCTGTAAAATCTCAGAGAACTGAACACTTACAAACTTGGTACTCCTTTATAACCAAAGCTTCAAGATAGAAGTTTAGAGAAGTAGAGTGATTGTGCACATGATCCCAGTATTTAATGGTAATGGTATATGGTAAGGATAGTGTTTGTTTTTGAATGATAATTTAGAAGTTCTCATAGAAAGTGTACAGTATCAGTATTTAGAAACTATAAAAGAATTTTCACATAGTATTAAAATCCACAGACTAAAATCTGAGGATTTTTAACATACGAAAGTTGGCCAAACGTAAGCTACCAAAATCAAGAGCAACATGTTCTGGTAGTTCATACGTCAACATTTTTCCCTAAGTAGCAGCAATTACTTTAAAATATATTTTAAAAAAATCAGTATCAAAAAAAAAAATGCTTGACATAGGATTCAGTGTTAACACTATTTGGCACCTTTTCTGCTGTATTTGAAGTAAGGTCTTTGCTAGCCCTACCTCTACTCAGAAATTTAGTCCTACTGTAAAAAATTAGGAGCATTTTAAAATGTAATGCCACCTTTCATGGTGTGTATCTATATACATTATTCTCTTTGGGAGGAAAAATATTGAATTGGACATATATTAATTTAGGTTTCTTTTAATTTTTGAAAGAATTTGTAGATCGTGATATAAAGTCATTGGAACACATCTGTTTTAACAGGGATCTAGGCTGATACTACAAAAGGTTTAAAAACTCTTAATCTTACAGAATTTTATGAATCTTACCAGATATTTTGTGAGGAAGAAAAAACCCAGTGTGAATGGCCAAAAAATTGCCCTCCGTTTCACTAGCAGATAATTTATATTGTCTTAAGAATTCTCCCCTAGTTTTTCAGTTGAACTTTGTCCTGTTATTTTCAATAAGATAAATACTTTCATAAGGAAGGCATTTTCTGGCATAATATTTGCTTTGGTAGCATCCAGGTTTTACTACTAACCAGTAGTCTTTTAAATATTTAAAACCCATAGTTCAAAAAGTGCTAGTATTGCTGCCCTTCTTCACAAAGACTTAAAAAAGAAAATCATAGTGTAGTTTTGCTTCATTTTACATTTGGGTAAAACAATCTTCAAGGAAATTTATTAGGAAAGAAGACCTTTCGCTTTGTTTTTACTGTTTATAAATTGAAGACAAATCAACATTTGGGCTTAGTTTTATGTGACCAGTTATCAAATGGTCATAGTATGAAGTGTGCAGTTGTTCATTATTAGCAAATTATGTTTGATTTTTAAAGTATTAAATATAATAGTTGAGATGAAAACTGAAGAAAAATGCCAATGTGAAGTTTGTGTGTAGGTAGCCTTAAAAAAGCTCTACATTTTTAGGTGATTTTTTTCCTGTTAGTTCTCTGGGGAAACGATGGAGATGGGACATCTCAATTCCAGATGTAAACAAAAAGTAATTTTTATTTCAGCGTTTAATACAACTGTTATTACTGTGGATTCTTGTCTTGTGTTTTTTCTCTCCCTTATTCAAGTAATAGAGAATAATTTTCCCTCAAATTATTTGATCCTAGATGTATCATTTCTATATTGGCAAAATGCTGTTAAAGTGTAATTCTTGGATTTAGGTTGAATTGATGATGACTTTTTAAAACAAAACAAAAAACACTGGACATTGTAGATGTCGCAGTACAATATAGATTGTACTGTGTTTGCACACATGCGTGCGTGCATGCGCTCGTGCACGCACACAGAATGTAGTGCCATTATAAGAACACTGGCACTTTTTAAAACTTTGCAAGTTAGTTACTTATTTTCATTTTTAGGATTGAATAAGCTCTCTACTTAACTGTGAAAAGTTTTTTACATTGTAAAACTAAAAGATGATGTTTAAAATAGTCCTTTAGAATGTTAATTATTCAGTCATCAAGAAAAAACAAAACTAAAATGTCTTACCACTAAAGTATTATTAAAAGCCTCATTTGTAGAGATTCTCTAACTTCCTTGGTTTAGCTGTCTGTTTATCTATTTAATTTGCCCTCTCAATCAGATGTTTTCTTTTTGGTCTATTACTGCCCTGTGTCATTTTTTTAAATAGCCATCATGAGTAAGGGCTTCTTTTAAATAATCCCTAACAATATCTTTGGCATTAATATAACATAAAGATAAGACAGTGTATATGTTTTCATTCCTGTCTATTTTGTATGAGTGCCTCATTTTGTAGTCATGAAGGTAACATAGTACCTTAAATGAAAATGTAATGACTAAGGCCTTGGAATATCCGTTGTAGAAGCTAAATAGAACACTTAGTTATTTGGGACGTCAGTTTTCTATTAAAGCAAACACCTTAGATACCCAGACTGATTTTATGTGTATATATTCTAAAATGCTCCCTTTTTTATGTGGTTGTTTGTTGCCTTCTAACTTGAGAGAACAAAATTGAATAAAGTGAATGTTAGTTGTAGCCTAGTTTTTTTGGTTTGTTTGTTTTTGCTTTGTTGCAAGATCGCTTTACAGAGTTGTCCATTATTAGTCGGCATAGGTAGATAATCCAGGTATTTTTAATAAAATAATTAGGTAAGAAAAATAATTAACTCAAGTTAAATGTGATTGTGACCCCTCTCTTTTAAGTTTGAAAGTATAGTTGCAGGGGACACATCCCTCCTCCCTGGCTCCCCAACTCGTATACCCTCTTCACTGGGAAGAGCAAAGCCCCTCATCTTGTGTCACAGGCAAGATACTGCCCACTTCTCTGCCTTCACTGCAAGATCAGAAAGTTATAGCTTCTCTAGGGTTGTCTGTCTTACTTTTAGACGGATACTTTGATAGAGTAAAACTAATGAAATCCATTTTACATAGTTGACTATATGTCCCACAGGAAAAGGAATGAATTGCATGGTTTTTTTCCTTCTGAGTACCCCGAGTAAAGAGATCCTTTTGCTTCAGCGACTGTTTCTAAATTTTCTTTCTTTCTAGGTTCAGAATTTTTTCTATGATTTTTTTTCTTGCAGTCAAGTGCATTTCTATTTATTTTAAATGCAGGGCTGGGTGGAGGAATGCTATTTGAACCATAGACACCTTTAATGTTTGAAGATGAAATTTTTCAGCAAAAAAAATTGCATGAAGTTTAGAAAATGGCCATTAATTCCCCCTCTTCTACCCCGTACTTTGCAGCCACTCTTGTTGCAAATATACAGTGATAAGGAGAATCGATATATCAAGGGGCTGATCTATCCTCCCTTTTTTTTTTTTTTTTTTTTTTGGTGTCTGTTTTGTTTCTGGCACTGTACTTAGTACTATAGTCGAATGAGGTATGATGTCTGCCTTTGAGGGACTCAGTTGAACAGAAACATGAGCGAAGAGTCTATGATAGATGTAGGAGTAAAATGCCATGGGGAATACAGAGAATGGATTCACCTGGGAGAGCCTGTAATGACCTAGCTACTTCTTCCCCCAAAGAAGGGGGAAGGGTCTCGATCTGTCACCCAGGCTAGAGAGCAGTGGTGGGTGTCATCCCATGTAGCTAGGATTACAGGCACACCTGGCTAAGACAGGTTCTTGCTGTTGCTCAGGCTGATCTTGAACTCTGGGCCTCAAGCAATCATCTCACCTCAGCCTCCCAAAGTGTTAGGATTACAGGCATCAGCCACTCCACCTGGCATACTTCTTAGTTACTGTTTTGGATATATAGGCACCCCACCCCCATCTCTCTTTCAGCCTTCTGCAGTCTAGTTCCATTCAGAACTATACTTCCCTAAAACCATCCATATGTAAACACTAGGTAGAGGTCTCTTTCTGCATAATTTTCCATAGTTGAATCATCTTTTTGAAATTTCTTCCTTTATGTATGTAACAATGCCCGCGTTTTTCTGCTTCTCCATGTTTATTCAGTAGTACTTTTTTAGGACATACCAAAAGAGGAGAAGCTTCATACCCAGCGTTCACTTATTTGTTCTTTGCTCATGGGATCAGTCCATTCTACTTGCTGTCCATTGGTCTGATGGAGCAGAATAGGGAGTCCAGAAATAGACCCACCCATATGTGGATAGCTGGTTTTTGACAAAGGTACAAAAAAGCCTTGAAAAAATCGTTCTGAAATAATTGGACATAAGATGCAAAATGAAAAACAAATTGCTCCATATCTTACCACATGCAAAAATTAAACTCAAAATGGGTTATAGTCCTAAATGTAAAACCCAACACTGTATAACTTGTAGAAGACTACAAAGGAAAACACATTCAGCCTTGGGGTTAAGCAAAGATTTCTTAGAACAAAAGTACCCATGGAGGAAAATACTGCTAAATTGTACTTCATCAAAATTGAAAACTTCTTGAAAGATACCATTAAGAGAACAAACAGATAAACCATATAGTGGCAGAAAAATTTGCAAAACATTTCTGGTAAAAGATGTCCACAGTGGCTTTCAACGCCAGGTAAGACATGTGGCACCCTTTTCCTCCCTACTGTGACACCGTCATCTGTGTTCACTCAGCTCCAGGCATCCTCCCTGCTTCCAGAACAG